TTATTCAAACTGTGATTCTGTCAGTCTAATTTCAGGCCTTAGCCTTCCATATCAGAATGAAGGGATGGCACCTTCCTCCCTGTCCTAAAAATAATTACCTGTCTTCCATGATGTGTCTCATCATCATCAACATCACACCTGTGTGCCCAGGCCATTTCTGATTTCTGCTGCAAGGTTAACAACAAAAAAATGTTCTGATGATGACAATTTTCAGTTTCTTCTCTGATCGTTATTTCATACCTGTGCTCATTTAACAAACACGTCAAGTATAAGATAAGAAAAATAATGTTATTGTGAAGATACTGAATTAAAATTTCAGTCTACTAAAGAATATTCATTTTTTGTTGTCTAAGATATTATATCACTACATCAAATGTTAAAATTTAACAGTTTTGTTATTCTGATTATCTCACTGAATTCCTACATTAACATTATTTTTGTCCCATTTTAAAAGATGCTCATAGTAAACTTGCTAATGTCACATGACAGTAACTAAATAGTAAAGCTGAGTCCAGATTATTTGACACAGTGGCCTGTTCACATAAGTACAGTGCTCCATGCCTCCCAATTAGTCTCCACTACCTGTAAAAATTCACCAGGGCCTCCCTGGTGGTGCAAGGTGTTAAGACGCAATCTACGAAGCTATCCTTAGCCACTGCAGCATGAGTTCAATCCCTGGCCAGGGAGCTGACCCACATGGAGCAGCAGATGTCTCCTGACTTGCCTGCTGCTCCCCTCAGCAATGTATTTCAGTCAATCTGCCTGTTCTATTCCCCACTCTATCTCTGGTGAATCCTCTCACCCCTCCCCTCTTGCCTGCACCCCAGTTCTTGTATGCATAAATAAATATTTAAAAAAAATAAAAATAGGGCCTCCCCCGGTAGCGCAGCAGTTGAGCACTGGATCGCAAAGCTGCCAGCAGCCTCTGCAGCGCCGGTTCAATCCCAGGCCTCCAGCGAGGGTCCCACGTGGCACGCAGACCTCTCCTGCCACGCCCGCTGCTCCCCTCAGCAGGGTATTTCGTCAGTCTGTCTGTTCTGTTCCCCGCTCTGGCTCTGGTGAATTCTCTCACCCTCCCCGCGCTTTTGACTGTACCCAGTGCTTGTATAAATAAATAAATAAAAATCTTTAAAATAAATAAAAATAAAAATTAATCATTCCCAACAAACATAGAGCAGCATGAGGTATTGATTTCATAACTGCTATTACAGCATTGTATAAAGTGTTCTGAATACACAGTCCATTCAATCCACTAATATAAAAGGGAAATGATCAAGTCTCATTAGTCTCTAATAAAGCTTTCAAGTGAGGAAGAAGTACAAAAAGAAAAAACACTCAAATCTATAGACAACATCAATTAATCCAAAAATATAATTAGAGTTGTCTTTGGACTTAACAAGCACTGAAAGCCCTTATTATCCTTTTGTCTTTTTAGTCCTCTGAACTGCCTCTTAGAATTTGAAATTTTAATACTGAAACAAAAGAAAGCTGGAGACATGTACATTCCAAAACATTGTGCCCTTTTGCAATTTCTTCTCTACACTTATTATCCAGATCTTTAAACACTCAACTAGGAGCGAAACCAATTCAACTATATGTATAAAATGTAAAATTGGAAATGCCAGAAAATCAACCTGACCTTTAAAGTATAACATTTTCCACAATCGTTTAGTTAATACTAGAAAAACATTTTACAGTGTTTAAAGCAAAATCTTCATGTGTAATATTTCCAGCAAATATAAAAGCAAATACAGAACAAAGTACTTAAAAATCAACCACATTTCTAAATGAAAATTGCAAATAATTTTAAACTACTACTTTTTTCTGTAGTGGTTACATTATCTATTAAACATTTGTAATCATATTAGTGCACTCTACTTTTCAAATACAGCCACTATCACAGTACCCCAGGCACTTCCTGCAACTGGTAGGGCCTATTGATATGACTAATTCTACTGCAATTTTCCCAAGTTTCTTGCGAACAAAAATTAAGTGTCAGGCAAAGAGTCAAGATGAGACTTCCTGGGCCTCCCTGGTCTCAGCGCCATCACCACTAAGTCTCAGCGCTATCACCACTAAGGACTGAGTTTGATCCCTGGTCAGGGAGCTTACCCACATACAGTGTAGCAGACCTCTCCTGTCTCGCCCGCTGCTCCCCTCAGCAGTATATTTCTGTGGATCTGCCTGTTCTGCTCCCTACTCTGTCTCTGGTGAATCCTCTCATGCCCCGCATCTGTGGCCTACACCCCAGTCCTCTAGGCAAAAAAAAAAAAAGAGAGAGAGAAAGAGATGAGACTTCCCTGTGAATCAAGACCACCCTTGATTAATCTCCAGGTACTAGTCTCAACAGCATACTTTCTAGCCAACTTCTCAATCAAATATACTTTAAACAAAGAAAAAATGTAGGTAGTTGATATTAACATAATATTAAATTTGATATGAGAATAAATGTATAGTCTTCTACCAACAGATCAAATCATATTTGTTAGAAATATAAGATAGGTAAATCAATGCTATAGATGGATGGCAAACTTTTCCTGAAGAGAGAAACACATACTTCAGATAAATCATCGCTCATATTTATTGAAATTCCATAATCAAGTAGCAATATTTGAGAATGTATCTTTCCCCTTTGACAACTTTGATGAAGTATTTTTTTTCTTAAATTTTTTTTTAATTTATTTATACAAGAGCTGGGGTACGGGCCAGAGGTGTGGGAGGGTAAGAGGATTCACCAGGGATAGAGCAGGGATCAGAACTGGCAGATGAACCGAAAGCACTGCTGAGGGGAGCAGCAGGCAAGACAGGCGAGGTCTGCCATTACATGTGGGTATCTCCCTGGCCGGCCAGGAATCGAGCCTGTGCTGCCGAGGCTACAGACAGCTTCACAGCGCTGCGCTCAACTCACTGAGCCACCGGAGAGGCCCAGATGAAGTATTTTCAATAGAAACTTTTACTCAGATTTTATTCCTGCTAGTGAGAGGAAAAGTAGCAAGACAAATGAATTCAAAATCCACCCCATCCCCTTTTAACTACTTATTTACCTATTCTCTACAACACTTGAGGATTAGGTTAGACAGAGAGAGAGACAGAGTGATCTAGGAAACAAGCTGAGTAATCTAATACCTGGCTGAAAGACAAATTCTATCTTTAAAAATGAGTATGGTTCCTATCTACTCTGTGAATTCAGTTCATATTTCTTTAATGCAAAGACTGAATAAACAAAGTTACAGCATGAAGAGACAAAATAGTGAGTATCAACAAAGCAACTAAATTGGATACCTCACCTGTCACAGAGAAAAATCAATCAAGCCCAATGAATTTATATTGCGCACTGATTTATTTGGGAAAAAAACTGGAATACAATGCTTTTAGCTTTTTGTGTACTAAACATATTCTGCTCCATTGACTGGAAAGAAATCTTTAAAAAGGAGGGTCTCTGGGCAGAGGGCAAAAAAGGACTGAGGATTACTGCATCAACAGAAGCAAAACAAGATGGAGAAAAAAACAGTTGGGTGGAGAGGTTTACATTCCACATACAGAAGAATAATATAGGCTGACTTTTTACAGAGAAAAAAGTAACTGACAACCCTAAGAATAAAATAGGCAATAAAACTGGCAAGAAGCAAAACAGCAAGAGGATTAAAGCAGCCCTGAGAGTAGTTACATCCCACTAAGACAAGAGCGAGACAAATGCAAGTTTAAGAAAAAGACAAAAAAAAAAAAAAACAAGCCCCTCTCATTCTGAGAGAAGCAAAATGCAGCACCAAGAATACTGACATTCCTTACTTTGTTTTCATGATCATAAAATCCAAGAAAGATAAACTGGGCTTCAAATTTGTGCCACCCAACAACTTAACTCTAATTTCTCCATTAGACCAAGGAATCATACCTCTTTTTCTATTCTACTTTAAAGAGCAAGGATTAAATGTCCAGGATTATTTCACAAAATGTAAGGGTCACTGAATGTCAGTACATTTAACCTGGGTTGTAAGAGCTTAGTTGTAGGGAGGGAACATTATTCATCTCATCACCAAATAAACTGATATTTTATTTGGTTGTTTCAAAGGAAAATTTTCCAAATAATCACATTTTAAAAGTGAAAAGATATTCTGGACACCTTTCTAGAATACTTATTAAGGGCCTCCCGGATGGCGCAGCGGTTGAGCGCTGGGTTGTGAAGCTGCCCGCGGCCTCTGCGGCGCCGGTGCGATCCCCGGCTCCTCCCCGGCCACCGGAGGAGGGTCCCACATGGCGCGCAGACCTCTCCTGCCGCCCGCTGCTCCCCTCAGCAGTGTACTTCGGTCCTTCTGCCTGCTCTGCTCCCCGCTCTGGCTCTGGTGAATTCTCTCACCCTCCCGCGCTTCTGACTGTACCCCGTGCTTGTATAAAAAATTAAATAAATCTTTAAAAAAAAAAAAAAGAATACTTATTAAATTTTCTTCTCTCCAGTGTCAATATTGTAAGTGAAACAGGAATTGTTTGTAGCCTTTCTAATTTGGTGGTGATAATTCCTTTCCAACTCCCTACTCCTTGGGGGAGTACTTGAACAGTAATTCTTACATCTTTTGCCACAGGATACTCCATCATTCTGTCTTTATCACTATGATATATTTTGAAAATAACAGACATAGTGGTTAAATTAGTAGTTACAAAACAGTTGGAATAGATTAAAAATATCAATGGTACTGACAGAATTACTAATAGTTTTATCTTAAACTATGCATCATCAGGCATTCTTCGACTCAAAAGTGTGAAAGTTTTCTATAATTTTAATCCATTAGTATGGCACTGACCTTTCCTCTAAGTATTTTAAATATTGTGAGTGAAACTAGAATCACATTTAACAGTTTACCTGCCTCATAACGTCTACTTCATAAGACTATCTTCATTCTTTTCCCCCTAAAACTTTATAACTAGCTCTACCTTGCTCTAGTGGCTTCTACCATCCTATAATACAGTCTCTAGACAGAGAGCTTCAGTATATTTTCTTTACTTACCATAAACAGAAAATAGTATGTCGCTGACTTGATAACAGAATGTAGTAATATAATTCATACTTTTGGAAGGAGGACTAATATTTCAAGTCAACAACTTGGTAATAAATATGATTAGGAGCCAAGCAAAGAAGCAGAATATCCCAAAGTGTATACCTTTCAAAAGAAGACACAAGCAGGCTTAATCAGTGTGACATATTCAGATGAAAAATGCCATCATTTTTCTCAGATACAACTAAGTAACATTTTCAGCAGTATCAATTCTTAAAAGCATTATTTCCCTTACTATGTTTATACCAAACAAACAAACATTAAAAAGTTGAAGATAGCAATCAAATATAACTAATTAACCAAATAACTGGTTATTATTTCTTTATAACCAATTTTCATCAGTTCATTTTTATGAGTTAAAATTTATGAAAAATTCTTAGAAACAGCAAAATAGTCTTCAAGAATAACCTAAGAAGAACATGTTATTTCCATTTTTCCAAAAAGAAAATGATGTTCAGAAACAAAAAGTCATGTTCACATTACAGATAGTAGATCTAATATTTGAATGAAAGTTTTCAAAACTCCATTCCATAATTTCATCTAGAATTTCACCTAGAACTATGTACTTAATGTCTCGAATTATGTATTTAATACCTTTTTTTTAAGTTTTAACATACAATGTAATGTTTTGAGTACTAACATCATAGTCATATACATCAGGCATTACATTAATCTTCAAATATGTTGCTATCACCCATAAGTTCAGGAAGCAATACTCCTCTTACATGAATCATAAAAACACAAGCTAATTACTTTCAAACTATCCTTACATAATAACAATGATTACACAGTTATTATTCAACAAAATAAAATAACAGTTATTTAGTTACTTGAGCCTGACACTAATAAAACTCTTATTGAAGCAACTATTAAATAAGTTCTTGGAAATATATCAAAATGTTTTGTAAATAGCTTATTAGATCAAGCAAACGAAAGATTCAGGCAAAAAGGCCACGTACTCTGATTTCAACTATATGATATTTTGATTTTTTTTAATTTTTTTTTATAGAGGCATGTTTTATTTATTTGTTTGTTTGTTTTGTTTATACATGCACTGGGTACAGTCAGAAGCGCGGGAGGGTGAGAGAATTCACCAGAGCCAGAGCAGGGAACAGAGCAGGCAGAAGACTGAAGTACACTGCTGAGGGGAGCAGCGGGCGGCAGGAGAGGTCTGCGCGCCATGCGGGACCCTCCTCCAGGGGCCGGGGAGCAGCAAGGGATCGAACCGGCGCCTTAGAGGCCGCGGGCAGCTTCTCAACCCAGCACTCAACCGCTGCGCCACCGGGGAGGCCCATCTATATGATATTTTGGAAAAGCAAATATTGGAGGGCCTCCCCTGGTGGCGCAGCGGTTGAGCGTGGGCTGCAAAGCTGCAGCCAGCAAGGGTCCCACATGGCGCACAGACCTCTCCCTCCGCACCCGCTGCTCCCTCAGCAGTGTATTTTGGTCCTTCTGCCTATTCATCTCCCCGCTCTGGCTCTGGTGAATTCTCACACCCTCCCGTGCTTCTGACTATACCCAGTGCTTGTGTAAATAAATAAATAAATCTTTAAAAAAAAAAAAAGCAAACAACGGAGATAATAAAAGGACCCTGGTCACCAAGGATTGGGGCAAGAGGAATAAACGGGCATAGCAGAGTGGATTTTTTTTGGGCATTGAAATTACTCTAAATTATACCATAATGATAGACATAGGTCATTACACATTTCTTCAAACCCACAGAGTATACACAACCAAGAGTGAATCCTAATGTAAACTATGGACTTTGGGTGATAATGATGTATCAATGTAGGTTTATCAATTTTAACAAATGTACCTTTCTGGTGGCTGACATTAATTAAGAGGAAGATTATGATGTGGCAGGATGGTGGCTGAGGGCAAATGGGAAATCTCTGCACTGTCCACTCAATTTTGTTAAAATTGCTCTAAAAAATTAAGTCTATTCTAAAAATTCCCTGTGGCAGTTCTTATTTTTTCCTACCAATTGTTGTTTTATAGGTCCATTATTATTGATGTAGTAAAGAACATCTTTATGCATCAATCATAACCTTCAGTGAAACTCTTCTTCACATAGTCAAAGCTTCTTGAAATGCCTGCTCTGCTCTTTATAGCTGATCACTCTCTAATATAACACTGATATACTAAGTCCAATACAAGGAGAAAACTAGGTACTGGCAACAGACAGGGAAAGCTGATAGAGGCCAAGGAAGTAAAGAATTCCTAAAGTAGGAAATCAACAGGAAAATCCACAAGAGAGCAGAAAAGAGAAAAGAATTCAAAGATGCTCTGAATTCACTGATCAATGTGCAAAAATCATATGAAATTAAATTACCCTAAAATGAAAAACATTTTACAAACATCTTCTTTAAAAAAAATCTTTGTTGTCAATGACTCCAAAACTGGGATTGACAAAATGTTTACAAGGGATACTCCAGCAACAAACAAGATGATTTTTCAAGAGTTGACTGAGAATGTTACAAACATTTTTCAACAGCTATATAAAAGTGTTTATAAGTCAAAGAGCCACTACAAAAACCTAGCTCTTAGAATAAACTTTTGGATACACTTGTAAAGATTAAATTTTTTTTTATTTATTACATGAATATATACACTTTTTTACTTCTGGATATTCTTAATCTAAAAGTCAAAAAATGTACTGAATTATCAAAGTAAGCAACTGAGATTTTGAGAGAGTCATACAGTAATAACTGTAGGATGTGTGTGTGTGTTTGATTATTACTTGCTTTTCCTTATTGTGGTCATCATTAAGGATGTCAGGCTAGTAACTCAGATCCAAACATGTGAGCTATTTAGAAGCTGCTCTGGTGGCAAATCAGACTCATAAAAAAGGATTAAAGATGGTGCTGGCAGGAGCCACTCCCACCATCACCACCACCACCACCGGAGCACAAAACAATCCCTAGCATCTAAAATTTCAAGAGAGGCCCAAAGGCTAGAGTGCACCAGTGACCCAATTCAGTTAGCAAATACCAGATATCATGAAATGTTTAACGAGTTGATGAACTGGAGAGGCAGACCTCTCCTGTCTTGCCCACTGCTCCCCTCAGTAGTATATTTCAGTAGATCTGCCTGATCTCTGAATCCTGTCTCTGGTGAATCCTCTCACCACCCCCCCAACTCTGGCCTACACCCTGTTCTTGATGCATACATAAAAATAAACCTTTTTGGGGGGCGGCCTCCCGGGTGGCGCAGCAGTTGAGCACTGGGTTGCGAAACGGCCCGAGGCCTCTGCAGCGTTGGTTCGATCCCCGGTCTACGGGCAAGGGTCCCGCATGGCGCGCAGACCTCTCCTGCCACCCGCTGCTCCCCTCAGCAGTGTGCTTCGGTCCTTCTGCCTGTTCTGCTCCCTGCTCTGGCTCTGGTGAATTCTCTCACCCTCCCGCGCTTCTGACTGTACCCAGTGCTTGTATAAATAAATAAATAAACCTTTTTTTAAAGATTTATTTATTTATACAAGAACCAGGGTACAGGCCAGATTCCCGGGAGAGTGAGAGGCTTCACCAGAGACAGAGCGGGGAACAGAACAGGCAGACTGATGAAATACACTGCTGAGAGGAACAGCCGGCGCAACAGGAGAGGTCCGCTGCGCCACGTGGGACCCTCGATTGCCGGCTGGCCAGGAGCAGCACTGTTTACAATAGCTAAGCTTTGGAAACAACCCAAATGCCCAAAAATAGATGACTGGATCAAGAAGATGTGGTACATATACACCATGGAATATTACTCAGCATTCAAAAAAGATAAACACATGCAATTTGCAGCAACATGGATGGCACTGGAAGGGATCATGCTCAGCGAAATAAGCCAAAAAGAAAAAGAAAAATACCGGATGGTCTCACTCATAGCAGGAATCTAGAAAACTTAAATAAGGGGCCAGGAAAATGAATAACTATAAGAAAGTGAAAATCAAAATCAACAAAAAACTATGAACCAGAGACACTCTATGGGGGGTGGGGGCGGGGAGGGGAGGGATTGGGGTCAAAATAAGGGGGTTGCAATTGTATGGGGATATAAAAATAAAATTTATTTTAAAATAACAAATAAATAAATAAATAAATAAACCAGCGCCGCAGAGGCTGCGGACAGCTTCCCAGCACTGCACTCAACTGCCTATTTTAGGAGGCCCTAAAAATAAAGCTTTCTAAAAAAAAAAAGGGTGCTGATGAACAATGAAAAGAGTAAGGTGTAGCCCCTATGTAAGAAGTTTCCAATCTAACACAGTGTAAGGCAGAACCACAAATGACTACAATCTAGGCAAAGCAGAGCACATGCTGATGGTGAGAATAAAGAATTGGCATTCAGATATTTCATCAAAAAGACAAACTGTCTATTGCATGTGTTTATCTTTTTTGAATGCTGAGTAATATTCCATGGTGTATATGTACCACATCTTCTTGATCCAGTCATCTATTTTTGGGTATTTGGGCTGTTTCCAAAGCTTAGCTATTGTAAACAGTGCTGCTATAAACATAGGGGTGCAGGTGTTCTTTGGAATTGATGTTTCTGTGTCCTTTGGGTAAATACCTAGGAGTGGAATTGCTGGATCATATGGAAGCTCTATGTTTAGTAGGTCCAGAAATCTCCACACAGCTCTCCAAAGTGGTTGGACCAGTTTGCACTCCCACCAGCAGTGCAGGAGAGTTCCTTTTTCTCCACACCCTCGCCAACATGGATGGCGCTGGAAGGGATCATGCTCAGCGAAATAAGCCAGAAAGAAAAAGAAAAATACCGGATGGTCTCACTCATAGCAGGAATCTAGAAAACTTAAATAAGGGACCAGGAAAATGAATAACTATAAGAAAGTGAAAATCAAAATCAACAAAAAACTATGAGCCAGAGACACTTTTTGGGGGGTGGGGGGCGGGAGGGGAGGGATTGGGGTCAAAATGGGGGGGTTGCAATTGTATGGGGAATATAAAAATAAAATTTATTATATTAAAAAAAAAAGAAAATTCCAAAAAAAAAAAAAAAAAAGACAAACTGTCTAGAATAAAACCCAAGGTTATTACATAGGTGGTCAACAGGTTCTTGCTAAGGATGTTCTCAAGTTTCTCCCACTATATGTACTACTTCTACAGTAGATG